AGAGCACAGAGGGCCTCACTCCTGATCTCCACCCTGAGCTCCTTTCAGGGGTTGAAGGTCAGCAGCTGCAGCAGTTTGTGACCTAGTCCTTGTAGAGGCAGGTGGCAAGTGCCAGTTTGTAGTTGGCAGAACCAAGGAATTTATATTTAGTCAAAATAGCCTTTAGAAAAACAGTTACGGAATCTGTACCCTGAGCTCTTTTGAGAAATCCACTCGTTGCCAAGCTTGGACCAATTAAGAGGTGAGAACGTAAACATCAGCGAAGGGAAAAATGGTGAACATGTAATATTGTAGGTCTGTGGAGAGAAGGTGTGGGCTAGGGCAGAGAATAAGGCAGAAACATGTGCTGCTGAATAGAAATAATGTAATTAAGGGAGAGAAAGAAAAGAATTTCTCATAGCTTACTGCATAGGCAATAGGTTGGACACGTAAAAACTAATAACTTGTTTAGTAAAGGAATGAATAAGGAAATGGGGGCTAAGGGCACTTGAAAATTTAAGTACACTAGAACAAAAGTATAAACCCTCTTAACAAAAGAACTAAAAAGCAAAGAGCAAGGAATTCACATTAACTGGAGAAAGAAACACGGGAAATATACACACAGTTATCAAACAACAAGATATTTTTGAGGCGAAACGTGTTAGTCATATCAATAAATGTGAATGGACCTAACTCACTATTAAAAGAAAAATTTTTAATTTTCCTCAGAAAGCAGGATATAACTATATCCTAAAACAGTGATTCACAAAGGCTAACAATGTGTATTGAAAGATATACTGAGCAAATGGAAACAATAAAAAAGCAGGTAATGATTGTGCTATTAGACAAAGTAGGATTCATGCCAAAACCCATTAAACCCAACAAAGAATCACTATCATTTTTTGTGATAGACAGAATGCCTCTGTCTTCCCCCAGTGATGTCCACACCCTAATCCCTGAAACCTGTGAGTATAATATACTCGAAATGTCAAAAAGGACTTTGCAGATGCGATTAATGTTATAGACTTTAAAATATGGAGCTGACCCTGGATTCTCTTGATGGGACCAATCTAGTAGCACAAGTCCATAAAAGCAGAGAACTTCCATGGCTAGAGTCAGAGAGATGTGCTAAAGTAAAGTGTAAGAAAGAGACATTCAGAATGTAAGACTTGAGCTGCCATTACTGATTTGAGGATGGAGGGGATGTGAAAAGGAATGCAGGAAATGAATGCCCTCAAGGAACTGAGAGGCTCCCAGCTGATAGCCAGCAAAGAGATGAAGACCTCAGTCCTATGACCTTAAGGAGCTGTATTCTGTTCCTCAGACTTGATCATCTCAATCAATTTATCTTCAAGTTTAATGATTCTTTTCTCCTGACTGATCAGATCTGCTGAACTTTTCACTTTGTTTTCTAGTGAGCTTTTTGTTTCAGTTTTTATATTTTTCATCTTGAGAATTTCAATTCACTTCCTTTTTTATAATTTCCATTTCTTTGTTGATATTCTGTATTTGGTGAGAAATTGTTCTCATAATTTGTTTTAGTTCTTAAGACATGCTTTAGTTCCTTGAACATATTTAAAATAGTGGCTTTAAAGTTTTTGTCGAGTAAGTTCAGCGTCCTCAAGGACTTCCTCAAGGACAGTGCCTATTGATTTTTTTCTTCTACTAGTCATACTTTCTTGCTGCTTTGCATGTCTCTTTAATTTTTTTTTTGGTTAAAACCTGGGAAGTTTTAAATAATATAATGTGGTAACTCTGGAGATCAGAGTCTCCCCTGGATTTGCTGTTATTACTCTTTGTTGTTGTTTGTTTAGTGACTTTTGTGAATTATTCTGTAAAGTCTGTATTCTTTGTTGTGTGTAGTCACCCAAGTTTCTGCTTGGTTACTTTAGTTAATAACTGGACGAAGATTTTCTAAACACCTAGAACCAGTAAGTCTCAGTCTTTGCTGAGGGGCTGTGTGTGAGTGGAGGCATGAGTTCAGCACCCAGGCTGGCACTGCAGTGCTGCCTTCTCCTGCACTTCCTGCTCATGCAGACAGAGCTTCAGGGTCAACCACAAGTGGACATTTAGGCCACTCCCATCTTTCCTGAGCATGCACAGGGCCTTCTTCATTCCCAGGAATATGTGGAAACTTTTCAGAGCACCTGTGGACATCTCATTCCCTAGGTTTCCGTTTTAATCTTTTTAGGTAGTTTATTTTTTTTGCCTGATATTGACTAGCTCTTGTGGCCATGAAGTTCATTGGTTGCCTGTAATTTTTTGACAGACACTCCTGCAGAAAAGGAATTTTTGCACTGTGTGAACTGCAGTTCAGGCCAAACACAGTCTTGCAAATGGGATCTTCCATGGCATTACCAGGCGGGTCGAGTCATGGCAGTTCTCTGGGAAGGAGACTCTGAGAGAACTTCAGCCCCTTTCTGCTTTCACAGGTGGCTAGCAGGCTTATGGCTTTTACAGGCCATCTACCATGCACGAGAGAGGAGGGATTGGTACTAGAGCAAGTTGGAATGCCACAGTGCTCTGTGCTCTTGCTGAGATTCAGCTGCTTTTCCTGAATAAATGCTCCTAGATTGTTGCATGCCTCTGGTTAATTTCCAGAGTGTTAAAAAAGTTGATTCTGACCATTTATGCCAGTTTTCTCATTGCTTTTAGGGGGGGAAGGATTTTCAGAGGTTCTTATTCTGTTACCTTTACTGATGTCATCTCTTTGGCTTAATTTTTATTTTAAAACTAACACTATAGCTAGTGTGGAATATGTAGCATTTAGGTCAGCCCAGGGTGGTCACCACTGACATGATTCTGGAAGTACTAACTTAAGTTCTTATATAGAAATATATACAGTTTCCTTGGTCTTTATAAACCATTTATCTTTTTAATATTTTTTCTTTGTTTTGTAAGTAGCTGTGATTAAACAGTCTAACTCTGGGTCATGCATCTCAACAGAGTGGGAAAGTAGTTAAGGATTTTCTTTTCTTTTCCTCCCCCAAAATGGGGATCAGGGGAGGGGAATGTTAATTTCTCCTGCTGTCTCTGGGTCATGTTCCTCTACTGCTCATTGGTAGTTGGCAGCTGTACTACCTCATGCTATAAGCTGTTTCTTATCAACAGGCTACTGGGAAGTAATATGTTTCCTCAGTGTAAGGATATTGTCTCCAGTTCACTTAGGCATCAAGTGCCATGCTCAAACCTGGTAGAAGAAGATTGTGTACGATCCTTTACCTGCTGCTAATAAACTCTGTTACTATGAAGGGGTCACTCACACTTATTTAGCAATGAGTAGAAGAAGATTGTGTGCGCTCCTTTACCTGCTACTAATAAACTTCTGTTACTGTGAAGGGGTCACTTCACACTTATTTAGCAATGAAACGTTTTTAAATAAATGAATGCTCATGTGAAACCCCGTATGTAAAATGGATACATGCAGGGGTCTTTATTTCAAATGATGCCTATAGTCGTTTTTTGTGTTTTTTTTTTTAAATAAATTTATTTATTTATTTGTTTGGTTTTGGCTGCATTGGGTCTTCGTTGCCGTGCCCAGGCTTTCTCTAGTTGCAGCAAGCAGGGGCTACTCTTTGTTGCGGCTTGCGGTCTCTAGAAAACAGGCTCAGTAGTTGTGGTGCACGGGCTTAGCTGCTCCGCGGCATGTGGGATCTTCCTGGACCAGGGCTCGAGCCCGTGTCCCCTGCTTTGGCAGGAGGATTCTTAACCACTGCACCACCAGGAAGCCTATAGTCTTTTTGGTCCCCTCTTGCCAAGCTGCTTCTTCCAGTGAGCTCTAAAGGCACTCTTTCAGAACTGAAGAGTTCCCTAGAACACCGTCCTAAAATTTATTTCCAGATTCATCTTTATATGCTGGGTAGGATAATGGGTTGTTATTCTACTTTTTTTATCCTGTCAGAATTCTAAAATATACTCAACGATCATGTGAAATAAGATGAAAAATCTCCTTAACATTCATGATGTTTCCCATCTATTCCTATCAATTCCAGGCAAAGGACAAACCGAAACACTTAACTGTACTTAATAGGAATCTTCCTTTTGGCTCTCGCCAAACATAGATTTCATCCCTTTTTTTATGCTGAAATTTTATTCCTTAGAGGCCCAGTTCCAATCATTGTTTTCCTTGTTTTCTGTGGTCCTACTATAAAGTTCATATGCTATCCTTTCATACTTCATACATATCCTTTCATACTATAAAGTTCGTACTTGAGTACAAGGAAGTGTACAATGCTTATTACCACATCCTTCCACAGAGAGAGTTCTATATGAGTTTCTTCAGTGCTGTTAGTACTCTATTTCAAGAATATTATCAGTTACATAGACTTTTCTAGGCTGTGGTATAATCTATTTATAAGATATACACAGCTGACCCGTGAACAGCATGGTGTGAACTGCTCAGGTCCACTTACACATGGATAATTTTCAGTAGCACATATTACAGCACCATGCCATCCGCAGTAGGTTGAATCTGGATATCGCAGTGGGCCGACTGTAAGTTCTATGCAGATTTTTGACTGGGCAGAGGGTCAGTGCCTCTAACCCCTGTGTTGTCCAAGGGTCAGCTATATAGTATCTCATCACTTCTGTGAGAAAATGTTCCAACTTCTCTGTTTTAACAACAGGTTAACGTAACCTGATGAGTTTCTTGGTTTTGGTTTTTTGTGTATGTATATTAGTCTTAATGTAGTTTTCAGTTAACTTTTTATATTTGAGTATAACTGAATATAAACCTTTTATTGGACCTAGCAAAGGGTCTCATTTGTTTACTTACCAATGAAAACTTTCAGATGCATTGTCTCTTTTGTGTTTTTGTTCTCAAATAGTCTCATAATGAAAATTTAGATGATGTGTGCCTAGGATTATATACTATATGATTACATATTAAATTAAAATGTATCTTAGGTCATTTTTTTTAGATCATTGTCATATGCTAGTAACCCATTGAGCATAATGGTTTTGTGCTTTTAATATCAACTTCAGAAGTATATTTTAACGATTTTTTTTTTTTTTGCTTTTAGATCATTTGGGGAATATTTTTCATCTTAGTTGCATTGCTGTTTATAATTTCTCTCTTCCTGTCCAAGTAAGTACAGTAGACACATTTTCTAAAGCACTAACACACATCCTATGATATTATACATTTTCCACGCTGAATTCCATTAGTGTAGCCCTATTCATCTTAAGTAGCTATTTTACTTCCAAGTGTTCTATAGCATTAACTCAAAGAATGACTAAAAAGCTCCAATAATAGACAGTATTTCTTTATTCTGTATCAATTGAACAATATCTGTAAGATATTTAAGTGAGGTTTAATTTGTTACCTGTGGTTTTCTTTGTCTCCATTGAGTCTGCATGCTTAAGTTATGATGATACTCTTTCTAAAGTAACTGAAAATGTGGTGCAATATGTAAATTCACTCTTTATACATTTTTTTGTTATAGTTTGGATAAAGCTCTTCATTCAGCTGGAATAGATTCTGGTTTCATAATTTTTGGAGCTAACCTGAGTAATCCACTGAATATGCTTTTGCCTTTACTACAAACAGTAAGTAAAAAAACCATCCATTTTATACTCTAGCAAACATTGTCACACTCTGTCAAATTATTATGTTGACAAACCTATTAGTACTTGGAAGTATATGCTTGTGCCCTCTGCTGATTTGGCTTTTTATTTACATATAACTTCTATGTTGATATGTTGCTTTAAAAATTATTGTATTGATGTATTACTGAACTCTCATGTTATACATAACTTGATTTGGGGATACGTGATAAGACTTAGGGGTGAACTTTTCCAAGCACTTCCCGTTTTTACTTTTTAACGAAGTCTTTTATTCCATATATAAATGTAATTTTTAGTTTAATTTGTTATAGGATTTTTCTTAGGATAATGATACTGAGCAATTTGGTAATAGTTTGGTAGTTTGGTAATTGTTTCTTGGAGGTTTTTTTTTTTTTGCATTATCATACTAACCTGATCAGGGTTGATATTTTAAACATTGCCAAATATGAACAATGAATTTTCAGTTAATTTTACATGACTTCTAAAGCCCTTATTGTTTGTGTGTTAAGTTTAATTTTATCTTTTTCCAGGTGTTTCCTCTTGATTATATTCTTATAACAACTATTATTATGTACTTTATTTTTACTTCAATGGCGGGGATTCGAAATATTGGCATATGGTTCTTTTGGATTAGAGTGAGTATATGTTACAATATCATTTTGATTTTTTCATCATTTTGTGCCTAATCTCCATTATTGCAAATTATCTTAGATTTATAATATAGAAGTTGTAAATATCTTGATACCAAAAATGGAAATACTAGCTTTTTCACTTCATGTTAACATAAAAGTGCTCTTCGTCTACAGGGACGATTTTGCCCTCCGGGATACATTTGGCAAAGTCTGGAGATGTTTTCAGTTGTTACAACTAGGAGGCGCTACTGGCATCTGTTGGTTAGAGTACAGGGATTCAGTTAAACATCTTGCATTGCACAGGGCAGCCTCCCACAGCAAAGACTTATCCATCCTTAGTGTTCGGCTGCATGGGAACACACTGAAGCACAGCTGGACTCATGGTAGCTCAAAAGATGGCCCTTACTACTGGGAGTGAAAGATTACTGTATGTTTGGAGAAAGGGTCATTTTCCTCTTAGAGTCATCTTGATATAAATTAAGAATTTTAAAACGAGATACATCATCTTCATACTTCCAGCTGTGGGTAAAATTCAATTAAATAGTGGCTTGAACTAATGAAAGACTTCTTGCTGTGGAACATTTTTAAAATCTAGCATTGCTTCAGTAGCTCAAAAATCAAGTCTAATATCTGGATTCCTCTTGGCTTCTCCCTCATGATTGTGATATGGCTGCTTCAACCCCATTTATTCTGTCCGTGTTCTGTAAGGAAAAGGTAGCTAGGAGAAGTGGTGATACCTATATCAAAAAGCAAGACTTTCCCAGAAGTCCCCAACAGACTGCTTTCCTTTTGACGTTTAATGTTTTATCACCACCAGCCACTACTAGGAGTAGGGAAGCTGGGAAACGTACATTTTTAGGTGATCATATCCCGTCCAGTATTGGAGTCCTATTACTCTACACTGTACTACAATCTAGTAATAAAACAGGGAGGTGCTATTTTAGTTGCTAGAATAAAAGTGTGCTCTGCCGTTGAAATGAAGCCCGTCACCAGGCTCCTTCTATCTGTTACCACATGTTTTAGTTTCCCTCCTGTATGGATACATGTGAAAATAGCTGTAGTCAGATGAACATAAATTACCATAAACTATATTATAGTTTTATAGTAGAGTATAATATGAGGATATCGTATTTCATAGAAATGAGTATTTAAAACATGTGGCATGTCTGTCCTTGGGAAGTAATATTATATAAAACTCAAATATATTACTAATACTTACAGTTGAAACTCCTCTAATCTTTAGATAGAAGTAGTTCTCAGTTCTTCTTAGCTCTAGGAACTTCTAACAGATGCTATTACATAATAAGTTTAGAAGATTTTTCTGAAACAGACTGTGTGAGTACAAATATATTCTCTAGGTCTTGAGTTTTTAAAATAAACATGAATCTAAACCTAAAAGCTTTACAGGGAAAGCGTTGTTATTCTTTGTTGTTCTTATAATTATCTGGAAAGGCTAAGAATTCTTAGCATTTATTTTGGGAAAAAGAAACGGTGGATTGAACTGTGTTCGTTACCCCCCTAACAAAGGAGTGGGACTCAGTCCCTTCACATGAAACGTGTTGCTGGAATATCATCCCTGTGTTCTTTCGTTCCAGTTGTATAAAATCAGAAGGGGGAGAACCAGGCCCCAGGCGCTCTTGTTTCTCTGCATGATACTTCTGCTTATTGTGCTTCACACTAGCTACATGATTTACAGCCTTGCCCCCCAGTATGTTATGTACGGAAGCCAGAACTACCTGATAGAGGTAAGTGCACACTTTAAAAAGTCAGTATTTTGATATTTTAAACATAGTGAAATCTAAAATCAAATTCTCATTTGTGAAAGCTAACATATTAGCTCATCAGGTTAAACTTAATATTGTTAAAACTAGTTTTTCATTCCATTTCTCAGCATGTTTATATTTGTTTCAAACAAGTTCTTTTTAAAAATAACACTGAATTTCATTACAGTAGTTCCTTAAATGGATCCCATGGTGCCAAGCTACTGAGCTGTGTCTCGGCACTTTACTAAAACTCATAATATTTACTCTAAAATAATATTTTAAGTAAGTTTATTAATATGGCTCCCCCAAAAGTTTTGGTGTGCAGAAAATTATGTCTGCTCATTGGTACCATGAATCCCATAGGAGAGACTTTATAACTATTTATTTGTACGTAACTATGATTTCTTTTAACATGACAGGGATCCTCTTACCTGTTACAGTGATTCCTTGGTGTTGATCTTTCAAAAGCCAGCTGTGATTCCTAGTTGTACCTGGAGAGCTAGTTTGAATATTTTGACAGCTTAACATATTTTGACCATATCTAATTCAGCCTTTGTTTAGTTTCCTTTTCCTAAAGTATCTCTTGCTTTACCTTCTAACAAGTCAAATCAAATCCATGTTTCACGGCCCAGTTCAAGCCTTACTTTAATGGAGTTTTTCATTATTAATCCATTCTCCCCGGGTCACTCCTTTATCCTGTACTTCCTCCATTCTTTCTTTACTCTAATATGTAATTAGGAACAAACAAACAAGATCTAGTAAGCACATCAGACCTTTAATACCATCCATAATATTGCTAAGGATTGAAAAGTTAGTTCATTGAAAAATATTAAGTAACAATGCCAGTGGATCAAAGATAAGGCACGATCATAATGGAGGTAACGAATGACACAAGTTTGGGAAATGATGCTAGAAGGTCACCTTAGTCATTTTTTTCATTTCTTATACCTTTTATTCTCTTCTTGCCTTATCTCCTGCACCTGGTTCACTAGGTCATGCTTATAAAACATTCTTCTATGAATGAATGAAATAACGCCATGCTTTTGCATGGATGAATGATATTCTTTTCTTGTTCCACAGTGGAAAAATAAGTAGGCCGTTTCTCTGGGCAGAAGCTCTGTTGTTCAACACAGGGCCTAATGATTGTTATAGGAAAGCCCTAATGTTAAATTTACCCTAAATCTTTTTCTCCTAGTTGCAATTTTATGTAATTTACCTTTTAGAATATTAGCTAGATGTAGTTTAATAGAAAACAGTATAAAGTTCATAAAGTGATTACTTTTTAATCGAAATATATTAATATACTATTTATATTTTAACTATATTTTCATCTTTCAGAGCAATATAACTTATGATGCCCATAAAGGCAATTCAACCCTTTCTGTGCCAAAGAGATGTGATGCAGATGCCCCTGAAGGTAAAGTAGCTTTTATCACCCATCTTAGAATTTACAGCTCTGTAAGAAAAGATGTGTCTTGCATTTTGGTGTCTTAATCGTTTGATGCATTTGTTTTAATATGTGGTGACAAAGGAAATTCTAGCAAGAAGACCTTGGTGTCTTCAGTAGAATATCTTGGTAATTTACTGATTTCCATTAGGGAAAGTATCATTACAAAGTATTTACTTTTGAAGAACAAAACGTAGTTATTATTTATCACGTGTACTAGTATAATGAGAAACATTCTAAATGTCTTTTTTCATTGTTCTTAAAAATTTCAGGAGAGTTTTGGTGGTATCTGCAATATTTAGGACTGAGGCCTAAAGTACCTATGACCTAGAACAAATTTTGATCCATCCAACTCTGGTTACTTTAGTTAATAATAATAATGTTAATGATGACAACGATTAACTACTAAGAACATGTAATTGTGTTTCAGACACTGTGCTAAGTACTTTGTGTGTATTCTGACAAAAGCTCTGAGATCCTCTGCTCTTAACCTCTGTGAATTTTGAGACAATCTTTTTTTTTCTGTTTTCTGTGTGCTAAGGTGAGGTTTTTTTTCCCTTTGAATATTATAGTATGCTTTTATTTCAGGGTAAAATAATATGTCAAATATAGTATATTTCTTGATAAATCATTCAGGGGTACCGTTATGGAAAAGATAAATTTGGAGTTTTTTTACCAGGGTCAACTCTGGAATGTGGTAGAGTAACAGGAATAGGTACAGAGTTCAGGGTAGCCCAGTGGAAGAAGTACAGAGCTCTACGTGGAGATCACTGTGGGGTGGTGGTCTTCAGAAAGCAGGGCTTCAGAAAAGGGAGAGCAGAGCTGCCTCTCAAGGTGAATGAAGAATTTACCTGGTATGTGCATCAAGGGGAGGCTGTTCTAGGCAGAGGAACAAAATGCTCAAACGTAATTCGCTTAAACTGTAAAGTTTTGTGTTCCAGCGAATGTAAAGCACTGTTATTGTTTTGTTGTTTTAATTCTGGAGGGGTGTGGGTTAGAGGGAGGGAGAAAATGGGATTGCAGAGTTAGGACTCAAGCCCCGGAAGGCCTTGGAAGAGTTCTAAGCAAGGAAGTTGAAACTGTGGTCTGGTTTGTTTTCAGTAACTTTATTATAACAGAGAGAACGGGTTGGAGAAGTTGAGAGCTGAGCGTAGAAATCGGCTGGGAGAGGCTGCCGGCAGGGGCTGTGTGCAGTCATGCAGGAGAGATGGTGAGAGCCTGGAGTAAACAGTGGTCTGGAGGGTGTGAGATGAAGAGAGAAGCAAGAGGATTTCTGCTTGCTTGGGTCTGAAGCAGTGGCAAGGCAACAGAATATTCTAGAATGGCCCTCCAGTTACTGAGTAATGGGGTAAATTTTGGTATCAGCAAGCTGAGTTAAAAATGGATACTAAGATTAGAGAAGAAATGTAAGAAATGCTTAGTTGACTTGAGATGTCTCACAGACCTTGAGGCGGAGATTTCGTGGGCACTTGGATATTTGCATGATGAACTCAGAAGGTGGAGAGAGAGGAGCGTGGAGACCAGGGCTCGGAGGAGGACGGCTACCCAGGGGCAGGCGGGTGAAGCAGGTGTGGGGAAGGGGACTGCACAGAGGCGGTGGAGGCGAAAGCTAAGTGCAGTGAATAAAAAGCATATAAAGCCGTGACTGAGTTTATATTCTTCACAGAAATTATTTGTGGAGATTGAGAGGGATTGGATGGAAACTAGAGCAGGCGTGCAGGGTCGGGGAAAATCTTTGTTTTTTTCTTTTTAAATGAGGAGAGACTTCAGGGAAGACGGAATGGAATTAATGGAGCAGGAAAAGTTGAAGAAAAATATCACAAAGGTTAAATGATGGGCCAGTATCTGGAGGAGATGGTATTTAGAACATCAAAGACTGAATGCTTTAGCTAGAAGGAGGGATGCCTCTTTCTCTAGAGCAAGGAAGGAAGCAATAATATGGACTCAGATAGTAATTTCTTAGGGTGAACAGGAAGTTCTGTATGATTGTCTCATTTTGCTGTGAAGTTTAAGTTCAGTCATCTGCTGAGAATTGTGTGGGCCATTGGGCACAGAACTGAAGAAAGTGGCAAAAGTTTTGATCGGTGAACAGAAGAAGGATCTGACTGAAGATAAGTTAGTGATAGATAAATATGTGAAGGACCAGAGATGGAATTATCTATCTGTATTTTTGTTGAACAAATCTGTATAGCTGGTACCATTCTCCATCATTGCCTAGGCTGTCTGGGAAGGTGGGTTGAAGGACTGAAGTAGAATGGTAAGCCAAGGACAAGCTAAGAGTGAGAGAATGAGACCTACTGCAGAGTCCAGGGTGTAAGGGAAAGAAGGGAAGCGACTAAAGCTGGGAGAAAAGAATAAATCAAGAGATGAGATGGGGAAGCAGACATGAAGAAGAAATAATAGTAAAAGGTTTTTTTTTTTTAACATCTTTATTGGAGTATAATTGCTTTACAATTGTTTGTTAGTTTCCGCTCTACAACAAAGTGGATCAGCTGTACATATACATACATCCCCATATCTCCTCCCTCTGGTGTCTCCCTCCCACCCTCCCCATCCCACCCCTCTAGGTGGTCACAAAGCACTGAGTTGATCTCCCTGTGCTATGCAGCTGCTTCCCACTAGCTATCTATTCTACATTTGGTAGTGTATATATGTCCATGCCACTCTCTCGCTTTGTCCCAGCTTACCCTTCCCCCTCCCCATGTCCTCAAGTCCATTCTCTATGTCTGCGTCTTTATTCCTGTCCTGCCCCTAGGTTCATCAGAACCATTTTTTCTTTAGATTCTATTATAGGTTTCTATTATAAATGTATGTGACTTGATTTTCCAGCTCTACTTTTGTAATGAGTTTAGTCCCAGGTTTTTTACTTTGAAATGTACATACACATGTCACACTAGGGTTGATAGTTGAAATGCTTTGGGTTGTCATTTTTAGCTCAGTGAAAGTAGAATGAAAAATTACTGTTGAGTTGATTTGTAATTTTTTTTTAAGAGGGCACTGATCTTGAAGATCTAAAAATAGGTTCTGTTTCTTAAATTCTTATAGTAGTATTGAAACCTTAGCAGAAAAACATCAAAATTTCAAAATTAAGTTGCACTGGTAAAGGTGTTTAAAATGCCCTTATATTGCTGAACTAGTGGATTTTTGTGTAATAGATCAGTAAGTTTAGTTAAATCATACCCTTGGCCATAACTTTTTTATGAATCACATTCAGTATTTTTCTTTATCAGTCTAATCTAATTTATAGTGGCTTAAATCAGGGGTCCCTAGCCCCCAGGCCACGGACTGGTATCGGTTTGTGGCCTGTTAGTAACCAGGCACACAGCAGGAGGTGAGCGACAGGCAAGCAGAGCGAAGCTTCGTCTGTATTTACAGCCGCTCCCCATGGCTTGCATTACCGCCTGAGCTCCGCCTCCTATCAGACCAGCGGTGGCATTAGATTCTCATAGGAGCACGAACCCTACTGTGAACTGCACATTTGAGCAATCTAGGTCGCACGCTCCTTGTGAGAATCTAATGCTCTGAGGTGGAGCTGAGGCGGTGATGCTAGCGCTGGGGAGCGGCTGCAAATACAGATGATCATGAGCAGAGAGGTTTGACTGCGCAGAGACCATAATAAATCAACTGCTTGCAGACTCATATCAAAACCTTACCAGTGAGTGGCAAGTGACAGTTAAGCTGCATCTGGTGGCAGGCTTTAAGTTGGAATCCGACACTTATTTTAGTCTGTGCCTGGCCTGCCCATTATTTTTTTTACCACTTCCATCCATGCCTCTTTCCTGCACTGCGTCCTTGTCTCATTCACAGTTTTTGGTAAGCCCACAAGATAACCCTAGGCAAAATGAGTAAAAAACAAAGTCACTGGGCAGCTTCTTTGTTGCTGGAGAGCTTCTTTGAAAAGGGAGAAAGAAAGACCCAATGATGAGACAGAAGACTCTTAAGACTGCCAACAAAAAGAAAGCTGCATTTAAAATAAAATACCAAGAGTCCTACTTAAGTTATGGGTTCATTGCAACAGGTGATTCACATTCTCCAAGCCCGCTTTGTATAATATGTGGTGACTGGCTATCCAACAAAGCCATGAAACCTTCAAAACTGCTTTGCCACATGGAGACCAAGCACCCTGCATTAAAAGACAAGGCTTTGGAGTTTTTCAAAAGGAAAAATCATGAACATGAAGGAAAGCAATTATTGAAGGCCACCACTTCATCAAACGTGTCTGCACTGAGAGCAACCTTCTTAGTGACTAACCGCATTGCTAAAGCTAAGAAGCCCTTTATATTGGGTGAAGAGTCAATCCTGCCTGCTGCTAAGGACATTTGTCGTGAACTTTTAGGAGAAGCTGCAGTTCAAAAGGTGGCACGTGTTCCTCTTTCGGCTGGCACCATAACTAGACGAATTGATGAAATAGCAGAGGCTGTTGAGGCACAATTGTTCGAGAGGATTAATGAGTCACTGTGGTACGCAATCCAGGTCGACGAGTCTACTGCTGTTGACAACAAGGCAACAATGCTTGTTTTTGTGTGATATATTTTTCAGTAGGGTGTGCATGAGAATATGTTATGTGCACTTTTGTTACCAACCAACACCACAGCTGCAGAGCTCTTCAAGTCTTTGATTACATATCAGGAAAACTGAATTGGTCATTTTGTGTCGGTATATGCACAGACAGCGGCTGCCGTGACTGGATGGCTTTCTGGTTTCGCTACTCGGGTCAAAGAGGTCGCTTCTGAATGTGAGCCCACACACTGTGTCATCGTAGAGAAATGCCAGCTAGCCGAAAAATGTCACCTGAACTTAACGTTTTGCAGGACGTGATTAAAATTATCAACCGCATTAAAGTACATGCCCTTAACTCACGTCTGTTCACGCAGCTCTGTGAGGTGATGGACGCAGAGCACACACGTCTTCTCTTACACACAGAGTGAGATGGCTTCCCAAAGGTAGATCACTGGCCAGAGTTTCTGAGT